TTTCCTCTGTTGCGCAGGGTATCGTGGCGTTATTTTATTGGCTACGCATGTTACTCTAGGTGCGTAGTACTGATGTAATATTTTTTCGTCATTCATAACTCTAATTTTAGCAAATTTATAGTCAAACTAACCGGCTCGACGAGACGGTCAATGTTATAAAAATTTGTCAAATCTAAGTCAAATCAAGCCTCAATCAAGTCGTTAAACCACTTTTGAAAACTTTTCAGTCATATTTGGAAGGTCAAACAGATGTTGAACCTCACAAACTTATTGTCAAATTGAGCATCTCGACAAGTCGAATCCAACGAGCCCAAGATAACTCAAATTTGACATCGTTAAGGCACCCAAATGTCTATCAAACACCGTCCAATTGAGGGAATCTCTCCAAGTTGTTTGATCAAAGTGGCTCATATTCTTTCATTAATTATAAGCATATATCTATGAATAAAACCCCACCCCTCTCATAAGGGTAGAGGAAGAGAGAGCTTGAAGTCTAAATAAGATTGAAGCTTGGAAAAGGAACTGAAGTTGCCTCCTACTCCTACAGTTGTCGATGACCACCAACCACTGTCGACCACCACTCGCCGGTCACCACTGACCACAATCGGTTGTCGCCCACTCCTTACAACGAAGCATTATGTGAAGCAACAACTGACGTTAGGAGGAGTTGCCCGTAAGAAGCTGTCGATCACCATAATCAGAAGCTGTCGATCACCAGAATCAAAATCTCGTCGCCCGCTTCGGAAGGACATTTTAATTTACATATATATATTTAGTTCCATATTTTTCATAGTTTAAATGAAAGAGCGTTGTACCTCAGATCTTGTATCTATCCCGAAGGATAAACACAAGACTTGAAGATGAGACTCGATCAAATAAACTATCGGGATCGACACGAGTATGACTGTGCTAAAGATTCAAGGGTTCTAATGTGTGTCATATGCATTGTTGACCCACGTTGTAGGTCTGTTATTTTAAAAGCATAAAATAAATTTCAACTATTTAGTGTGATCCACTCTACTTTTAAATTATATAAGTTTAGTCATATGTAAGGCCACATATTTTAAATTTCACTCCTCTTCTTGTGACATTCTTTAGATCCCTTGGATCCTTAGGACGAAGCCGTCATGACGACCCCGTAAAAGTCGTACGGTAGCCGGAGGCTTACCCTGTGCACTTAGGTACTAGGTTAGAACACTTTTTGTTAGATGGTGTGTGGATCTAGGTTGATATATAGTCTTTTTGATGTCTGGCTATTATTTTTATTGGATTGGTTGTCTTAGTCAGATATCTTTTCTTTTGTGTTTTTGGTGTGCATGCATGTTGCATATGCATGGTAGTGTGTTAGGAAGTTCTTCTGCAGGGATTCGTGCCTCTATATGCACACACAGGTACTTAAGGAGTCAAAATTTATAGAATATCTTGCTCGTGAATGTTTTCAACTCCCACAGGGTTGACTCTCTTAAAAGGCCATTAAAAATTATTAGTAGTCATTTTTTCAAGTAATGCGTACACCACCTCAAATGATTTTGAAATTAAAGACTCCCCCCTCCCCCAGTGTCACATCTATTATCAACATCAAAGATCTCATTAGCCCATTATAAAAAAGTTTGAATACTTAACCAATTGGGTAGAGCATAGTGTGGGCACTTCCTAAGCAATGACTTATTTTTTTCCCAAGCCTCATGGATTGACTCATTATTTAACTAAGTGAAAGAGGTAATATCATTCCTAAGCTTGTCAATTTTAGAAGGTGGAAAGTACTTAGGTCGAAATGTTTAAGGGAGGTCATTTCAAGTGGTGATAGACTCTATTACTAAAGAATCTAACCTCTTCTTAGCATTTCTTTAAAGGAAGATAGAAATAACTTAAGTCTAACAGTATCAGCCGAGGAATCGTATTTATCTTATTTGAATGTGTGTAAATGTATTATGCCTTGATGATTTTAAAGCTTTGATGATTCGGTGTAATAATACTGCGAGTCAGAATTGTATATAGCATATATATGTATCATATGCAAGATTATTATGCCTTTATGGATTTATTGTTTGAGTTGTTAACCGAATCAAATAAATTTTTCCGAACTCGGCATATTTGTATTAAAATTATAAGTTTTTACATGGTAATAACTTAATTAATTACCATGAGTTTTAACTGAACAGTAGCTATAATAGCATATACCTGTTGCAATAAAAACATTTTAACATGCTAATAATCTTTCCACTGTCACAAAGTCATCTTCTACTCTTTAGTTTGTAATTCTTGTGTAATGCTGCATGTATTACTTGAAATGAAGGCCATTTATTTGCTATATGATTAGATAACATTGTTGTATAGTTTTTTTTTTAAGGTTTATGTACATTCCATTCAATTCTTATGTATTTACATACCAAATACCCAAACTTCAATTTTTACATATATGTGACCTTACCTATGCATGGGAAAGTTATGTTTTACTTTCAAAAAGAAAGAACAATGATATTTTTGATGCTATATGAAAGATTTGGATGGTATAAATGTAAAAAAGTAAAGTTTTGGTATTAGATGTGTAAATACGTTAAGAATTGGGTGGTATCTAATATAAATTCCCCTTTGTTTACTTCATTTTGAATTCATGATCTAGTTCTGAGATAGGTTTTTGTTTTTTTTGTATAGGATATGCTTTTAATCTCTAACAATTTTTTTCTGTAACTAAACAGATGTAAATTATGACCCGTCTATTTGGAAGTTTATGGGTGTTGTTTATGTTCCTCTTGCACATTTTGTACAATCATAGTTATTATGCTTCTTCGCAGGCTATAGTATTTAAAATTGAAGATTTTGAGAACCTTTCTGTTCCACTTCCAGCTATTATTCAGGTAAGAAGTTGCTTAGGAGTCCATTTATATTGCTGGATGAATTTGTAATTTTTTGTGAAATGCGCCATTAGTTTTCATATTCCTGCAAATGTGCTTGACATAAAGTATTATTTGTTAATGAAATTTCATTATATGGTTTACATTTATATCAACTTATGTTAAGTGCATTCTGGATGGAAAAGCATGAATGAGCACTTCATTATTTGGTTGCTTTCTAAACATACAACTTGCACTAAGTGATCGGTGGATCATAGGATAGAAAAAATCATTTAGATTCATTCTTTCCTTGGAATAAATCAAAACATTGATCCATATTTTAGACTATCTCTAATGTACACCATGGAAAAATTGGACTAAAACAGAGCTAAATGAGTAATAAATTAGTCGTCATTAGAAAAGATGCCTGAGGAATGGAGAAAGAGTATTTGGGTCTACATTTTTAAGAATAAAAGGGATGCATAAGAGTGCAAATTATAGAGCAATTAAGTTGATGTGTCATACTTTAAAATTAGGGGGGAGGGTAACTGAACATAGGTTAAGACGTGGTACAAAGATTTCTCATAATCTGTTTGAATTTATGTCGGGCCTGCCTACTATGAAAGCTATACATTTATTGAGAGGTTTAATGGAAAAGTACGGAGAATAAGGAGGATCTACATA